GCATTAGTTGTTGACATTCGTTCACCATACCCAATGGTATGAGTACCAGTTCCCTTAATGAATGTGATCTACGGTGCGTAGAGTTCAATCAATCAATTCATAAATCAGTCAATCCATCCATCCATCCATAAAGCCGATCAATCAATCAATCAATCATCGATCAGTCAATCAATCAATCAATTCATAAGTCCATCCATCCATCCATCCATCAAGTCAATCAATCAATCGATCAATCAATCAATCAATCAATCAATCAATCAACTTAATCAATCGATCAATCAATCAATCAATCGATCAATCAATCAACCTACCGCTCGATCGAGCACACAAGCGACCATTCCATCAGGAGATAGCTGTTCGATCCTTAGGTTAATCAGTCATTCCTCACTCGCGCTCTCACTCACGCAAGCAGTCGCGATCAATGGCGCGTGCATTAATGGAACTCAACGCATCGAAAACGAGTGTGCGTACCTATCAGGCATTCTATCAAAGCATAACAGCTTCCTTTTTTATGTTCATGGTGCGCTGCAGTCTTGGCCGGGTTCGCACGCTAGACTCGTTTCCCTCTTCTTATTCCCTCTCGATCGATCTCTTCGAAAATTTTTCGTTTGGCAGGATGGTGTCGGGTCCTTCAAACCGTAACAGCGCCGTTGCTTCGGCAGAAACGGCGGCGCCGTTGATTCGGCAGATCGGCGGCGCCGCTGCTTCGGCAGAACCGAGGGCGCAGTCTGCTTCGGCAGAACCAAGGCCGGAGTTGAAGAAGAAAGGTAAGCAATGGCCAGATTGCTCTTCACACGCATTCCAAAAAAAACGTTTCTTCTTCTTCTTCTTCTTCTTCGGCAGAACGAGGCCGCAGTTGCTTCGGCAGAACCGAGGCCGGAGTTGCTTCGGCAGGATCAATATGGAGACTAGGTGAAGTTCGTCGTCGTGCCAGAATAAGATAAGATAAGGAAGAAAACAAATACAGTAAGTCAGTAACAGTTTGGAAAAAGTGCTGAGACGGCTCTGCCCGAGCAACGACGCCATTCTTACACACATTGTTCTGCTGTCTTCTCTCCGGAATTGGAACGACGACAACATTCTGGCCCTTCGGCAGAGGCACGGCATGCATAGACGTTTCATGCACTCTTGTGATTCACTGGCATACCTTCGCGTTTCTTTTGGCTGATTAGTTGGTTGGTTGCTTGGTCCTGATCGGTTGATTGGTCGGGTTATTAATTGGCTTTTGGCTGATTAATGGGTGGATCGACTGGTTCCGTGATTGGTTGGTTGATTGCTTGGTTTGATTGGTTGGTTTGATTGGTTGGTTTGATTGATTGGTTTGATTGATTGGTTTGATTGATTGGTTGATTGATTGATGGATGAAGGAAGCTGGTGATTGGCGAACGCAATGTATATCCTTTGGTTTGATTGATTGGTTTGATTGATTGGTTGATTGATTGATGGATGAAGGAAGCTGGTGATTGGCGAACGCAATGTATATCCTTTCTTTCGTTCTGGCTTCTCTCTGAGTCTTGTTCGTTGTGTGTCTGTGTTTCTCGCGTATACTGATTGGCTTGGGCAGGCTCTGCAGGGGGTTTGGAAGACCTGATCCAGTTGAGTGAGAGAGGCCGACGCCGTCCCATCATGGCCGCGTCGAAGGGTAATAACTCGGATCGTGCTACAGAGGGGCGGGTTGCTGTCATCGAAGGGCGACCGGTAGTCTGGGGAAGGAGCGACCGGTAGTATGGCACTCGGACCTTGCTATCGTGTTGGACTCCTGATGCCACGTGTCGGGCGCGGTGAGGCTTGGTGCATTCCTCTGGCTGCTGCGTGGGAATCAAAGGACGTCTGGAGCGCGCGACACCAGAGGGTCTGCGATGGCGGCAGAGGCGAAAGAGACCTCGGAGGCTACAACCTCCGCCTCTAGTCGCGATGACAACGCTAATCCCATCAACCCTAATCCCATCGAGAGAGGGACAGAAGGTGCGTGGAGTGGTAGTGGTGGAGAAGAGGAGAGAGAGAGTGGGCAGTTGGTGTGGGGGGCCCACGTGGAACGCGACCATTCAGATTCAGGCGATGGAAGGGATGAGCATGCAAGAGAAGCGCGGGAAGACGAAGACTGGACAAACGACCATGAGAGAGAGCAAAAGACTGCCGACAGTCCGTTTGGGGGTAAGGAAGGAGTAGAGGGCGGGGTCGACCAGGGTGTGAAGAAGAATGCTGCTGCCATGAAGGGCGGCGGCAGCGGTGGAGGAGGAGGGGGAGCGGAGGGAGGAGTAGGGGTAGGAGCATCGAGCAAAAGGGGTCAACAACGTAGGGGTGCACAGGATGCCATGAAAACGACAGGAAAAGGGGGTGAAGGATGGGGAAGGGGAGGGGCAGGCGGTGTAGGCGGCGCAGGTGGACAGAGAGGCTTGACATCAAAGTGGGTGCCCAAGGAAACGAAAGGGATCCCGACGAACGAGCAGATATCCACTGATATGACAAGTGTTAGGGCGGCCGAGAACACGACTGATCAGCAGCCTTCCTCAGAAGAAGACGTCAATTCTCCGACGATAGATCAAACAGGGATAGAATCCGTAAGTTTCTTTGCCAGACGCGGGGCTCATGCCGACCGTGATCCTCACTTCTTTTTTTTTCAACTGCGGGATTAACTCCGACTGGCTGTACTGGCTTTCGTGAATGCATCTGACCACAGTTACTGCCAAAATTCGTCGAGCAAGCCCCGGTGTGAGGATGCCGTTAATTTGTTTTGTGCAGGTCTTTTGTGAAGAGCATTCCATCTGAAAAGTGCGTTTGCTACGTCGGCACTATTATTCACTGTCAAAACTTATTTCTCTCAGCAAATGCACTACATATCATATGCTCTCTCCCTCTCTCTCCTTGCACGTGCGCACGCGCATGTGGGGAAAGGGTCCCACGGACTCGTGAACAGAGTTTCTCTATGTGTGTGTGTGTGTGTGTGTGTGTGATATTCGCTGTGTGTGTGTTATCATATTCGCTATACAACTCCACCAAAAAAGCATGACTGTGCCAGACTGTTTCGTCGGACTTTCACCGACTCATCAGGAGGTTGAATGTGTGTGTGTGTGTGTGTGTGTGTGTGTTTGTGTGTGTGTGAACTCTCTACAGGTATTTTCATAAATAACAAGAGATCATTGTTTGATAATTGTTGAGATAATAAATTGAGAGAATTATTGTTATAAGAAATACTAGGATGTGTGTGTGTGTGTGTGTGTGTGTGTGTGCGTGCGTGAGTGTGTGTGTGTGTGTGTGTGTGTGTGTGTGTGTGTGTGTGTGTGTGTGTGTGTTCGCTATACACAACTCCGCAGAAAAAGCATGACTGTGCCGGACTGTTTCGTCGAACTTCGTGCGTGTGTGTTTGCTGTTACTTGCAAGACGTTGCTCTTGTGACATGCAGTGGATCTCATGTGCTCTATTTTATTTCGGGGGAAAGGGGGGGGGGGGKGRGGAGGGGAATCTCTTGTCAGAATTTGACAAGTATCCATCCAAAATCAAACATTATGTCTGTGCTATTATAACTTCACCACTATCACCTCCCTTTGTGTTTTTGTACTTCCTTTTTCAGAACTTCACCACTATCATCTCTTATAAGGTGGATGTGGATTTTGTTCCTTGTTGCCTATCGGCTTGTTGTACACATGCGTGCATACATGCTTGATTGATGATGCAGCCGTTCCTGCCAGCAATCGTCTCGGCTAGCCGGAAGTATACGAGTTCACAGATGCAGCAGATGGCCACAAAATCTCTGCCCGAGGGATCTCATTTTCAGGCGTAAGGACCAACCCACGAACCCATAATAAGACGCTTCAGATAATTGCTCGCCAATACCCCTCCCCCCTCCCCCCCTCCGCCCACTGCAGTTTCATTTCCTCCCTGATAACCACATGAAAGAACTGTCGTCTTCCCCCGAACACAATGCACCCCGTTTATGGCTGTACCGAACCGGAAAGTTAGCTTGTATCCATTCATTATCAGGGTGCGCTATGTTCGACGGTGTATGAAAGGGGTTTGTCGAACGCTAGGGGAGTTCTCCTTGGGTCAGTTTCTTGAAGAATTCATCAGCATGTTCAATAAGTACACACAGGTTTTGGGAAATCCTATGTTATTTCTGCCTGAGATCACATTGAGTCTGTTGACGTTGCACTTCGTCTGTTAAAGCTCCCGGGCTTTGTTACGAGTTGGCTTTTTTTTTTTTTTTTTTTTTTTTTTTTTAATGCGGAGTCATTTACTCAACTGATTCCGTCTGGCTTCAAGTGGAGGTCTGTAGTAGTTCAGCAGTTCATCTGAGTTGCACTCTTTGGTACAGAGCATTCTGAATGACGCTGTTCAGGACGTCTGTTAAAATTGGAACGATACAGAGACAGGTATTTAGCATGGACCAAGGTACTGTTAAAATTGGAACGATACAGAGACAGGTATTTAGCATGGACCAAGGTACTGTTAAAATTGGAACGATACAAAGAATAAGGTAGCGGCCTAGCTCGGTAGAGCACGGAAGTGGCATTCAGGAGGTCGTGGGTTCGGTTCGGCACGGCACACTTCGGGTTCAACAGCAGCTGAGATAGTTGGCTTGGCCCCCCTCTCCGTGCTGATCTTCGTTGGGGCCCCTCCCTTCCATCCTTCACCAGGGGTTAGGCTGAGACAGAGAAGGCTAAGGCTAGTATGGAAGCTTGGACCAACCAATCCCGCTGCTAGGAAGTGTGGGGTATATTGGAGAGAGGAGTATAGTTTCGTTTTTACTATTCTGTAAAGGTAAGTTGCCGAACTCGGTTCCCAGCAGGGGAATCCTGTAAGGAAGGGACGCTGGGCTTCTGGCAGGTGCTGCTCCCCACCAATAGATTGGAGCCATCGACCCACCCAGCAAGGCCTTAATCCTGGCCGTTTCACTACCCTCCACCAGGATAGTCCCCTTGGACCAAGATATCCCCCAGCGCCCCCCAAAAAAGCATGGCCCCTGTGCAAGTATGACACTCACAACTCAAGAAATGATCGAAAACAAAAACAAAAACAAAATACAGCTATTTTTGCGTTTTTTGCCCATTCCAAACTTGGGCCATGACAAAACTGCCAGTGAGTGTTTTTTCTGCACATTTGAAACTAAAACTGTGACTCGGACACAGTTGGAGCCAAACGGCTTCGACTGAATGCTTGCAGCAACATTGTCAATAATGCTGCAAGTTACCTTGTGCAAGGAATATGAGTGGGAACGATATACAGAAAACCAAGTTCCGAAATCACACAGATGTCCAAGTAGTCGTGTACAAGTAGAGAGCACAAATGCACCGAGATTCCATTCAAATAAGAGCAATACAATGAAGTAATGAGCCAATGTTCAAGCCCCCAGGCCACACCAACACAGAATCCAAAGTCGCTCCTCTCTGTCTGGCGCCCAACGCCCAGCCTAAACTACTCGACATCAGCATTCTCGCAACAGGCTCACTTGGACTCTCGAAGACCAATGTACATGACTTCAACACCATAGCCGACCTCTCTCATGTACCCGGTTCGTATCTCGTCTCCCTTCATCAGACCCTGTCCACCCACACTCACCTCCTTCCTGAAGACCATTGATTGCCCTCTCACCCCCTAGCACCCTGCAGCCCCGCTATGGCTGCTTGCGCCCCGCTGCCCAGTAGCGCCCCTTTCTTCACCACAGACGCGCCAGCACGCGCTCTGGCCCTAGCGCAGCACGCAGCCTCTAACGCAGCAGCGCAGCAGCGTGACCGCATTGCCTGCGTGGGCCAGAATGCCTATATGGAAGTGGCAGCCTCTGCTGGGCTGCGTGTGGCCTGGCTGGAAGCTTCCAGTAGCTTCCGGTTGGGCCCCAGTACCTGCGCCCAGGCGCAGTGCTACAGTTGAGGGCCTGGGCCCTTTACAGTTGGACATGGCCCAAGTCTCCAGATTTGGGCCGTTTCCTGCATTCGCACAGGACTTGGGGTATGTACGTCGACAGAGCTGCTTTTGCGTAGGCCTGTAGCCACTTCGTGATGTATCGGCCCTGCATTGTGTGTATGTGCCAAGGCGCAACTGCCACGGCCTGGGCCAAACTGCACGATGCAGCTTAGGGAGGCTCACGCGTCCACTCAACCAACTAGCGGGCTGTAACAGCCTGAGTACCCACATATGAAAAATGTTGGATTTTGGGCTCTCGTGAATATTCAGGCCCGCCTTCACTTAGGGCGAGCACTTGGCTTGCCGGGGGCCTCTGCCCAGAACATGTGCATGTCTGATTAGGGCCCCACGAGGGCTCATTCCTCGCATCCATCCCCCTTAGCTTCGAAAATCTGCTGAGATGCTTAATGCTGCTGCCTTCCCCTTCAATTTCCTTCCATACTCGGCCACAATTTGAGGAGCTGTCTTGACAAGTTCCTCCCTTGTAAACCATCGGTCTTTCCTGGGATCAGTATGATGCCCGAGCCATACTCTGTACTCTCTCACAGGTTTAGGCAGTCTCCCCCTGCCAGCTGGCTTGGGAACAGGCATGTCTCTGTGCTCCAGGATATCGTCGACGTCCACGTGACCATCCATGGTTGGGGGCAGCAAAGATCTCCTTGATGGGAACTGTTCTGTCTCAGCGAAGGTGCAAGCTTTGAGGCTTGAAATACAGGGTAAGTGCGTAGGTGACCAGGGATACGAATTACGTATGAGGGACCATCCAAATCACTACCCACAATATCCAAGACTTGCCAGGGACCGAAATACTGAGACATTAGTTTTCTAGAGATGCCAAACTCCTGTCCCAACTCACTAGCCTCGACCCAAACACGTTCCTCTACTTGAAATGTGGACTGTTGGCGATGCTTATTCTCAGAAGCAATCATTGCTTCCTGAGATTTCTTGATGTGCTCGACAGTCTGCTGCAACAATTTCTCATACTAGACACCAAATTCAATGGTTCCAGGAGTTGCAGCAGTTCGATTTTCAGGCAGGAGGAAGTCTAGAGCAGATCAGATCTAGGCTTCCACCCCAGATGCAGCTGATTAGGATTGACGCTGGTGGTGCTATGTACAACATTATTGTACAGGCTGGCGATGAGAGGTAGTTTGTCATCCCAGTCATCCCTGCTGGGCTTGATATAGTGCCTCAACAAATGCTGCACCACACGTTTCATCTGTTAAGCCTGCCCATTGGCTTCAGGATGATTCCCAGAAATCATTTGGAGCTGGCTGCCCATCTGTTCAGCGGCCTTTTTCCACATTTCGCTGGTGAACCGGACATCTCTATCACTAACAATCGTCTTTGGAAGACCAAAGTCACGCAGCCAGTTATCCATAAATAACTTGATGACGTGCTCAGTCCCGGTGGTCTCAGGCATGGTGACTAGTCTAGTGTATTTAGTGAACCTATCAACTAATGACGAAGATATGCCTCTTGCCACTCGTGCTGGTCACGAAGGTATCCATGAAGCCCATGGAAACGCTCTATCCCGAACCAGCAGGAATGGGTAAAGGTTTCAGTAACCCAAGCGGGGCTTGAGTCCGCGGCTTATCTTGCTGACAGACTTGGCAAGTCTGAACATAGGTCTTTGCATCGTCAAGCATGTTAGGCCATCATAATCGCTGTACCAAGTTAGCACTAGTCTTCTTGTAGCCGAAGTGTCCCGTTGCATCATGGCACGCACCTAAAAATAAACTTCGCAAAATCTCTCTAGTGGGCACAACTAATCTCTTGAACCCTGCCTTCTCAAGAAAGAGGAACCCATCCACCATCACGAACTCATCAATTGTGGCCTTGTCCTGGGCCTCAAGTTTGCGGATGATGCCCATCGTGACAGGGTCTTCCTTGTAGGCTTTCACCAAGGATCAAGTTACATTGTCTGATAAGCCAAACTCGGTAATCAGCGCACCCAGGTGGTCTGCCCTGCGTGAGAGTGCATCAGCAACCTTGTTATACTCACCTTTCAAGTAATCTAGCTTGAAGTCATACTGATCTATGACTTCAATCCAGCGTTTGAGTGCGTCAGAGAGAACATGTTGTGTCTCGATCCACTTGAGTGTCTGATGGTCATTCCTCAAATAGAAGAACCGTCCCAACAGATAGTGCCTCCAATGGACAAGTGCCTTGTAGAGAGCGTAGAGTTCCCTTTCATAGGTGGACCACCAATTTCTTGGATGGCATCTTATTTTTCGTGTACTCGATTGGCCTTAACTTTTTCCCTTCCTACTGAGTCAACACTACGCCAATGCCATATTGGCTTGCGTCAGTGGTCACTACAAATGGCCTTTGAGGATCGGGAACCATGAGAACCTCATGATGTGTAAGGGCATGCTTCAATCTCTTGAAAGCAGCTTCACATGCGTCTGTCCATTCCCATGGAGTGCAAGGTGTGTTAGATCAGTCAAGGGAGATGCGATAGTACTATAGTCTTGTACAAAATTGCAGTAATAACCACACATCCCCAAGAAAGATATGACCTCAGTCATAGACTGGGGTCGTGGCCAGTCTCGAATGATAGCCACCTTTGCACCTTCCGGCCTAATCCCGTCCGCGGATACTTCATGACCGAAGTACGAGATTTTAGTGCGACCAAACTCGCATTTCTCTACATTTATCTTATACTTGTGCTGCCGGAGGAGAGAAAAGACTTTGTCTACATGTTGGGCATGCTCCTCGACAGTCCTATAAGAATGTCGTCGAGGTACACGACGATAAACTTATCCAAGTAGTCATGGAAGATCCTATTCATGGCGTGCTGGAATGTACCCGGCATATTGCAAATGCCAAAAGGCATCACCACAAACTCGTACAAATTGTACCTGGTATGAAATGCG